AGAAGTAGAAGTAGACCTCAGTGTATTCTACCATGAACAATTTTCAGAGCTCTTTAGAAATGACAAATGCTTAAGACAGATCTGTAGGTGTGTTGGGAAGCAAATCTTGAGGCACCTATTTCTGTGTCTGGAAACTTGGTACACATGACAAAGTGTTTGCTTCCCTTGCAGATTGAAGACTATGATCTTATAGCAAGCATGATGGGAGCAAAATGCAAAAAGCTTCGCAGCCTGGATTTGTGGAGATGTAAAAACATAACTGAGAGTGGAATCGCAGAATTGGCTGCAGGCTGCCAGCTCTTGGAAGAACTGGATCTTGGTTGGTGCCCCACGTTGCAGAGCAGCACAGGCTGTTTCACAAACCTCGCACGTAAACTCCCAAATCTGCAAAAGCTCTTCCTTACAGCCAACAGGTCTGTGTGTGACACAGACATCGAGGAGCTGGCTGCTAACTGCACACACTTACGGCAGCTGGATATACTGGGTAAGGAAACACAGCAATGTTGGTGTTTGTTTCACTGTGTCTCAGAAGCCTTGCTGGTCAAAAGGAGTCCTTGGGATGAAACTGTCTTCTAGGCATGTTTTTTAAATAGTTGTTTCTTAAAATTATGGTGTAGCATATGAAAAAGAAGAGGGAAGTTTTAGTCACTGCCTGAAGTTTCTGACTCAGAATCCAGTGGGTTTATGCCAACCATGTCATTTGACTGCTTAGTATGAATTGCTTAAACTGAGATTTAAGTGCAAGACTCTCATAACTTTGTTTCATGACCATTAGTGTTTTGAACTGAAGTCTTTCTTTAGACTATTAGAAGATCTAATATCTTACCCTTCTTTCTGTTTTGTTTGTGATTTGATTTCTATGAAGTGTGGCGAAGTATTTCTAGCATGAGTCTGATCAATAAACAGATTTTGCTTTTGTACAATACAGATATACTGTGCAAGACTCAGTTTCTTTGTCACATTTATCAGGAAGTGGAGTTATTGAAGATGAAAAGCTAATTAACAGCAGAACCTGAACAGACTTTCTAGAAAGGTGGGAAGGAATTGATGAGGGGAAAAAAGTGTGGCAAATCTAAAATTTGTAATCCTCTGCAGCTTCTGTAATTAAAAATATTTATTGAATTTTAAAGTAAATCTACTTTGGACCCTTGAGTAAGGACTTTGAGAAGTGTAGTTTTGTGTGATACTGAGTTCTTTGTATGGTAGAACATGAGATTTTCTGTTTATAATAACACAGGACAGCAGAGTAGTTTGTATCATCAGTGTGGGAGAAATTTCTTTATGCTTTTGACAACCTATTTTCATAAGGTTAGTTGAAAAAGGCAGATTTAAATAAAAGGAAATGAAAGAGCTGCAATGTGTATTTTTAGTATTTAGTAACTTAAATGAAAATATCGCATTTAGGTTGGGAGAGTTGCTGCAAAGGAATGAGAGACCTCAGCTCCAGTAATGTTCCAAGCAAGTTTAAGGCTATCAACATTTATCATTACAAAGTATTTACCATATGGCTTCAGACTGTCACTCCAGTACAGCTAGTACACTCTTCTGTCTTGAAGCAGAGTTTTACTCTTCTCTGACTGAGAAAATTGCCTTCTGAGCAACCTGGGGAAGGAGGATGAACAGATAAAAATTTAACTCCACCTAGTATAAATTGCAGAGACCTGATGTGTATGTCCACAGCAGGTCCTGTGTTTTGTATATCTAAGAGAATCTGTTCTGTTGCTAGATTATCAAGGGCATATTTCTGTATTCAGACATGGAAGATTCCCAAATGGCACAGTCAGTGAAGTTTTTAATAAACACACATGTGCTCCTGACCACTCACTCATATATATTTCATAGAATCATAGAATC